ACTTTAATTTTAAATATAACTTTAAACCCACAAACGTGGAATTAATAGGGGCTAGAGAATTTCACTTTTGATTAAGAAACTGGACTATTTCAACCCTCAAATGATTTTTTTTTAAAAAAATCACAAATAACTAATAAACTTGTAATTATATCACTTTTAACTTCTCAACTTGAAAACCTGATACCAGTGTCCTGGAAAAAAAAAATCAGAGAATTGATTAATCCAAAATCATTAACAAGGCGTATATTTGTCTACCGTCAGCTTTGTCAAGAGATTTCAAAACCAAAAACCACTTATAAATATCACACTACAAAACACGATTCTTAAAAATAACTATTCTTTCTGGAGAAAACAGTAACTTAAGTCAGGCAATATTTAACCATCAACTCTAAAGTTCTCAAGTGCAGTTGGAGAACATAATATTTAAGTATCCCCCAAAATGAATGTAAAGTAGAAATTAAAACAAACAAAACAGGCTTTCCAAACAGAATTATTTTCACGGTCTTTATCAAATCTCTTTTTAAAAAACAGCACCAGGTTTTAAGTGCCAAAAGCAGGGGTGTCAAACTGCTGGCCCACGGGCCGGACGTGTCACCACGAAACCGCGCCCAACCCACTGCCGGCAATGGGGGAAAAGCTCAGATACGTTGCGTGACGTCACGAGTTTGACATGTCTGGCCAAGAGCTACTTTTAAAGAACAATGACACAAATCTATTGCATCATTCTTTATATCTTAAATGTGGAGTGTTTGCAACAAAGTATACTTTCTACTCACAAATACAGATAGTCCTCAATTTAGGACTACAATTGAGCCTCACATTTCTGTTGCTAAGTGAGACAGTTGCTAAGTGAGTTTTGCCCCATTTTACCTTTCTTGCCATAGCTGTTAAGTGAATCACTGCAGTTGTCAAGGGAATAATGGGGTTGTTAACTAAATCTAGCTTCCCCACTGAATTTGCTCGTCAGTAGGTCGCAAAAGGGTATCACATGACTGCAGGACACAGCAACCGTCATAAATGTGAGTCAGTTGCTCAGTTGCCAAATTTCTGAATTTTGTTCACATGACCATGGGGATGTTGCAGTGGTCATAAGTGTGAGTAACCATCATGAGTCCCTTGTTTCAGTGATGTTGTAACTTTAAATGGTCACTAAATGAACTGTTTTAAGTCGAGGACTACTTGTAGCTATTTTAAAGGGTAAATCTTTACGCTACTCTGAATGTTAAAGACATTTCAAAAATAAGATCATAGCTGTCCCATGTTTTAACTATTTATTTAAAATTATGCATGCCCTCTATTGCTGAGTTAAAACAATTAGTGCTATAGGGATCATCAGCATTTAATACTGGTACAATTACAGAATTATTAGTGGTCCTTAAGGAAAGGAGAAAAATTGCAGGACTTAGGCCACGGGTGTCAAACGCGATGATGTTACGTGATGTAGCATGACGTATAACGCCTTTTTTGCTTTTGTGGAGCTGGGGTGGGCATGGCCTGCGCGTGACGCATCTGGCCCGCAGGCTGCCAGATTGACACCCGACCTAGGCCAAAAACATAAGACATTCACAAAAATGCACATACTTTTCAAACTGAGCACTGCACCTGGCATTTAACTGATATGCCATCAACCACTCTCTCCAAAATGGGTAGGTCCATAATAAAGTGGGTGAGATCAAAGATTGCTGAAAACTTATTGAATAATATGATAGGGAGTTGTATGTCTGCCTTCAAGTCAGTGTTGTCTCCTAGCAACTGCCTGAACTAGTTGCCGCAGTTTTCTTGGCAAGGCTTTTCTGAAAGGATTTGCCATTACTTGCTTCTTAGGGCTGAGAGACAGGGACTGGCCCAAAATCCCCCAGCTGGTTTTGATCTAGTGGGTTGTTGTTTTTTTTTGGGGGGGGGGTTGTAGCCTGATGCTACAAATGACTACTGCACTAAAGTGGCTTTTCTACAAAGAGTAACTCAAATTAAAAATAACCATTTGGTGGCAACTACAGGCATATTGGGGCTTCAGCCAGGCCTTTGTGGATGATGTGGCTGTAACTGGGAAACCTTATACTTCAGAAGACCTTACAAGCCAACACTTTCTGGTTTCCAAGTCTGATTACAAAACGTTTTCTAAAAATTAGAAGGCTTAGAATATTTTTTCCTCCATTTTAAAAATGTAGAATTCACCACAAATAAAAGTCACTAGATTCCAAAACTATATAGTTTGATGCCTCACACACAAAAATTCATAGCTGAAGCTCACAATGTAACAACTATAATGTAATAGCAAGCTTCCTGACCCTCATCTTCTCAGTATTTATTGGATTTCTCATTCACTAATTCTTATCCAGGCTGGTCGGTTTGGAAACTGCTATAAAGTAAGCAAGTAAGCAAGAATGAATGACACCATACTGAATTTCATCCCTACATTCACAGAAGCAATAGAACTAGTAGCCACATCCCTGCAACAAATACATTGCAATGAAAAAGTCCAAAATTCTATACATGGTGAAAATGAGAAGCCCATATAACATTACATTTGCTTAATTGTATAAATCGTTGACTATCTGAGTATCAAATACTCTGATCAACAATATAAATTAAATATCTTCCTGCCCACACCCCATTTTGTTCTGAAAGGCAACTTTATTCTGTTATCCTCATCCACGCAAAATCTGCAACACAGTGAAGGGATGCCTAGCCTTTCAGTCACCCCACTTCAAACATTTTCAGTACAACACACAATGATTTAAAAGCACATTCTGTACCACTTTCACGGGTCAATAATTTCTTAACATTAAGAGATGTTTTTAGCCATTAAATTCATCTTATTTTAATTATCTAGCATCAGTGGGAGTTCCAATTTAGCATTGTAGAATAAAAACTTAGGTTGCCTATCCAGAAATTACCCTGAGATCAATGGCTCTTTTGAGTCAATGTGTATGCGTTATTTCCCTACTTCATTTAAATCAGGGGTTCTCAACCTTGGCAACTTTAAGACTTGTGGACTTTAACTCCCTGAGGAATTCTGGGAATTGAAGTCCACAAGTCTTAAAGTTGCCAAGGTTGAGAACCCCTGATTTAAATTATTTCTTGCATTTTCCTATCTTTTTTTCCCATTTTGTATGTGCAATCCTCAAATCACAAGAGTTTTACTTGTGTTTACTCTTCCACCCCCAGAATTACTGAATTAGGGAATCAGCAAAGCATAAACTATTTCAACTGAACTGTGCAAACTATGAACTCAATGATCTCTAATGGTTTAATCATCTTGTGTTACACTATGCAATAATAAAGACCAGAAGGGGGGAAAAAAGACCTCATATGATTAATGAACATTTTGCAGATCCAATCACTTGACATTTGGGAGAATACAACACCATAAGACCCTACAGACATAATATATTTTGTTCAGTCTTCTTTACTCTGATGTCCCTGGTGTTATGACTTTGACTCCAAGGGATTTGCCAGATAGGGATTCTGAAAGTCGTAATTCCAATACATTTGGAAGATAACTAGTTAAGAAAGGCTACAACAGATCCCAGAGGACCTGTTTTTTCAATTTCTCACATCCACCATTCACGCAATCCTTTCAGATATTCACATATGGGAGGCAAATGTATAGAAGCTGCTGCCTAACGGGCCTTATTCTATATGGCTGCAATAATATGTGTCACAACGTTACAGCCTTAAAATTTGTTCCATATGTTTCATCCAACTGGGAAGGTGTATGACAGTTAGATTAGCAGATGCCAATCTAGCCCTCTATGCAGGTTACTACACACACTACACCAAATGAATTTTGAGGCTCCATACATAAATCGGGGATTGGCCACACAGTGCACAAGGTTGCCATAGTATACTGTACGTGGTCCCTCCACCAGTTGACGTTGATAGGATCCTAAACCTTTATGAAAATTTAATATTTAAACATTTTCTTTGAAGTGGCCAAAATCTCATGGAATTACCCCAAGACAAGCAAAGTGGGAGCCTTCTGGCACATTGGCACAAGACCTTATTTCAAAATGGTTCTGGGATCAATTAGCTTTTCTACATACAGTACCTAATCATGCTAGATGACTAACTCTTCACATAAGTGATAAATAGAACACAGTGACAGTCAGTTACCATTCATACCGTGAATGGCCATCTAAATCCAGCTTGAACATTATTTCCTAGTAAAATAGAGCACAGGTTTTTTTTCCCCTACTTCTGCTCTAAGGACCCAACAGGAGCATATAATATTATAACTGACAGTTCTTGAAGAATTTTTTTTTTTAAAAAGAATTTTTTTAAAAAGAATTATTTTTTTAAAAAAAATACAGTAGCTATTACAGATATATCTCTTCACTATACAGGTAGTCCTTGACTTACGACCAACATTTCTGTTGTTAAGTGAGACATTTGTTAAGTGAGTTTTGCCCCCATTTTACGATTTTCTTGCCACAATCGCTAAGTGAATCACTTGCAGCTGATAAGTTAGTAATATGGTTGTAAAGTGAATCTGGCTTCCCCATTGATTTTTCTGGTCAAAAGGTTGCAAAAAGTGATCACATGACCTTGAGACACGGCAACAATCGTTAAGTATGAACCAACTGTCTAGCATCTGAATTTTGATCACATGATCATGGGGACACTGCAAAGGTCATAAGTGTGAAAAATGGTCACAAGTCACTTTTTTCAGTGTCGTTGTAATTTTAAATGGTCACTAAACGAACAGTTGTAAGTCAAGGACTACCTATACTTTTAAAGTTCTTAAGGCAGTCCCTTCAGCTTTTGACAGATTCATATAACCTTAAAAGAAAAATCTGAAAAGCCTGTTATTTGACACGAAAATTTTAAGAACCAGAAATGCGGGTTTTAGCTTGTTTTTTTCATGTCTAGCCTTCAGTATGCATTCTTTATCTTCCAATTTATTCCTTCCGTGATGAAAACTTTTGTTTTAATAGCAATTTAAAGTGAACAACATACATGGAAACCAACAACAGGCACTACGGAAACCTCCTACTTACCAGTGGCATTGGCTATGGTGAGAGGAAGCCCTTGCAGCTGGTGAACCTGGATGCCAGATCCCAGGGCCCCAAGGTTGATGGTCTGAAGGCCTGGTACGGAAGATAGCTGAGCAGCATTTACAGTGACTGTGCCGCTGGGTAGAGAGGCGGAAGCTATTGGTGTGAGTGTTGTGCTGGTGCTCCCAGTTTGCCCCAGGGACACCCCCTGTACGGGAGCCAAAGCGATTGTCTGAGCTTGCGGATTCTGGACCTGAAGATTCTGAAGTTGAATAGTTTGCCAGCTGACCTGTCCATTTGGCCCTACAGTGGGCGTTCGAATAAAGATTGGACCAGTGTTGGGGAGTGCCTGGATCTGCAGGTTCTGCAGAGCATCTTGGGTAAAGGTCTGGCTGCCTTGCCCTCCCTGAACAAGTTGAGGCTGCACCAGGATCTGCTGTTGGTGCTGGTGTTGGTTTTGATCAATATCTTTCTGTTGTCCTTGTTGGACCGCAACCCCTGCAACCTGCACGGCGTCGGCATTCTGATTGCTGTTCGTCCTCTGTGGTGTCTGCACCTGAACATTTGTTCCCACGCTGCCGCTAGTAGAAAAATTCATGATGCCCAAATTACTTGTGGTGGTAGTGGTGCTGTAGTTGTTAGCATTGGTGAAAAAAGAGACAGTACTGGCTTGAGTCGCGGCCACGCTGGAGGAACTGATTGAAACTGGTTGAGAGTTATTCTCTGGAGAGCTAGAATTGCTTAGAGTGACTGACTGAGACGTGGGGGCCAAACTGGCAGCAAGGCTGTTAACAGGCAATAAGGTGATATTGCCGTTCAAAGCCAGTGGGACGTTAGTGACATATTGTGTTTGCCCTGAGAGAGTATTTACTCCCTGAATGGGGACGGCCTGCTGCAAAAGATTTGGCATGGCAGCCAAGATATTGCCTGTGCCAGACCTGTTTGTAATGAGCTGCTGGTTAGTTCCTGGAATTATTTGCAGCTGGCCAGAGGCATCTTGCTGGACACTAACTTGAGTGGGAGCAGTGGCAAACTGCAACTGTTGACCATCCACAGTTTGAAACTGGGGAATCACCTGATACTGAATATTAGGCAACATCCCTGATAACCCTGTCAGAACTTGCTGGTTCTGCATATTTGGGTTGGCAGCAACCACATACTGCCCAGTGGTGGCAGCTCGGTTTTTGGATGATGAATCGTTCTCTTCATTGCTGTTATTCCCCAGATCTTTGGGAGAATCGGAAGCTCCAGAAGCAGTGGAAATTATTTGCCAGCCATTTGCATTTTGGGAGATTTGAGTTGCAGCAGCAAGGTCCAGTTCACCTGAGCCTCCCTGTTGCCCCTGTAAACCATCAGAGTTCTCATTGGGAGATTCAATCCTGCTGCATGTGGCTGCTAGCAGGGCCAGAGGAGAAGGCTGAGACTCCTGTCAGGAAATAAACAATAAGAGAGGAGGAGTCAAGCATCTGGCCATCCCAGATGACCTTACAAAACAAGAACAAGGAGCACAAGAAAGCAGCCAATTAATAGATGATTTGCCAATCTCCTACAGCAGGGATTGTACACTCTGGTCTAACCAACATAAGACATCAACAACCAACGTCTAATGAAATACATTCCTCATCACTCAGGTTAGACTATTTTACTCAGAAATGTTTACTTTGAACTTGGGTTAAACAATTTTACACTCTAACTATCTTTCAGGAGGAAATACAAATTCCAACACTACTCACAGAAATACTAATAAAATTTTGATGAACCCATAATCTAACCTGTTTTGAATTTACTCACCCCTTTAACTCAAGAACCATAAGATTATTATTATCACTTTCCAAGTGTGACTTTAATTATAGAGGGTTGCAAAAATACTGAAGATTTTTTAAAACTGCAAAAATAAGTAATCCACCTTTTTCAAAGAGAAGAGAACGTTGCATCACCACATATATTAAAAACCAAAGGTATCTTTCTACTGCAAAATGTGATTCCCCCCCCCCAACCCATCTCTTCTTCTCAGAATTCTTACTTACCTGGGCCTCGCAGTTTCCTCCATCATTACTGCAGCTTTCATCCACCTTCTCAGTCTTGATAACAACCATGCCTTCTGAAATATCATGATCTGCATAGAAATTAGAGGACAAGAAAAAAGAATAAAAAAGAGTTAAATAAATAATATAAAGCATGTAGTTTTTCAAGAAGCAGGAGAAAGGCACAGAACTAATTTAGCATTAGATCCTCCCATGCTATGTAACATACTGTTCAGCAAGAGATCGCCAGCATTTTTGATTTATTTAAAAATACAGATTTAAAAATGAAGGCCTTCAGCAGACGCTAAGTAAAGTGGTATTGCCAAGTGGTATTACTGATAATACCAAGTAAAGCATTGTGATTATAGATTATGCACTTAGTGATAGCCTTTGGAGATACACACACACACATATATATACACAGATACACACACATATACATACACACACACAAAATATACATATACACATATTGCATTTAGAATTTGTCTTTAAAGTAAATCTAGCACCATAATGAACTACACCAAAGTTAAGATCTCTAAGAGGAAAAGTGGTAAAGAGAAAACAAAAATTAAAAGTGTCAATAAAGACACTGTAATCCAATGAGCAATTCAAATGTACCTACAAAAATCCTACGCTCACATTTTTAATAAATAGTGAACAAGCCAAGCCATCTTACATAACTGTTTAAAGAATGAGAAAAGATATACCACTCTCCAATCTAAAGGCCAAGATATACGGTAAGTACAACAAAAACTATGATTAAAATGTAAAGAACAACTTTGCATTAGCATACCGGATAAACTGTAGGCACTGCACATCAACAAATAAAAATAAAATGGGGCAGTGTGACCATCAAGAGTTGTTAAGACTAGGAATAAAATATCAAAAGAGGGTCTCTTATGAACAAATCAGATTTTACTATTAATTGCTACTATATACATTCACAACATTCATAAAAAGAAAACACCCCGGGAGAAGGAAGGTACTGATCAAAACTACTGCTACTAGGCGGATATGGGTATTGCATCATATTTACAGCCTCTTCCCTCACCCTGCACCGCCTTGGCGCCACTTCCTCACCCATGATGCAAAACCAACCGGATTTCAAGGTTCAGAAATACCCGAGATCTGTTTACAACTTTTTTTTTGTTTGCAGTGTCCCTAACAAGTGTCTTTCTGTGGTAGAAGTGGCTAGACGTCTTTAAAAACCTATGTCATGAAAATACTAGGTTTTCTCTGAAGCGTTGCTATTATTAAACAACAACAACAACAAAAACAGCTCCACTTCGGCAGCTCTCTTTTATAACTCCATCTCTGCATGACAGAGCAGTCCGGGGCTATGAAAGGGGCTCTCTGGGTAAAAGCAATGCAAAACGCATCGGATTGCTGGGAGGAAAGGGGAAGTAGTTACATGAGTCACTCCCAAGGGGCGTAGGAGTATGCAAACTTCTGACTTGCAGCTGGTTCAATACGGAGCTCTGCACCAAATGTACACAAAGCAAGGCCTGCCAAACATAACGATTTCCGAGTTTAAATTCCTCTTAAGTTTAAGGACTCTTTAACTAGTTTCCAGCCTCCCACGCGCCAATGTTCACAAAAACGTAGCCCGCCTCCCTTTGCGTCGGAATCTGAGAGAATCCCGGAGAGGGAGGAAAGAGGCCTAGCAAATCTGGAGTTGTTGCCCCTAAGGGGGGGGTTTGCCTTTTTCCTTCTTTTTTCCCTAAGAGCAGAGGCAAACCTACGGAAAAGTGGGTTTCTTCATATTTTGGGGCATGGTACCAAACAAGGCCTTACTTTTATCGTTTCTCAGAACTGCCTCCGGCCTTCCTGGAAGCGCCACGGCTCTCCGGAACTACGAATTTCGCCCCTTCCCCTCCCCCCCCCCCGCCACATGTAGTTGACGGCTTAACCAGGTTCAGCCGGGAGAAAGGCACTTTGCATATGGCCCGAAGCTCTCTCTCCTTGGCCTTTTGGAAGCTTTGAGGCGATGGAGCAAGGATTTCAAGAGTGGGGAGGAGGGGGGAGTCGTGGAATAGGGACACATACATACATACACACACACAGGGGCTTTTCTTTTTAACTTGCTACTTTCTCTCCTGCCTCCTTCTCCGGCATCGCCTGCGTTTCCCTCCCAACCTCGGGCAGCGCCACCCGAGAGAGGTAGACGGAGGATCCATCCGGCTCCGCCGCTTCTTTCCAGCGGAGAAATTCCAGCCCCCACCTGGTCCCGCCCGATCCTCCTCCTCCCTGAGGCGACTTGCCCTCCCATGGCCGCTTCCTCCACCCTCCATCGCAAGCCCCGCTCCCCTCCTCGGGGCCCCTCCCCCCAAAGGCTTCCCCTACCACGGCTCCTGGCTGGCTTCCCCTCCCCAGAATCGTTACCCCTCCCCCGTTCGGATCCCCCCGCCCGGGGGGCTGGGCGGGGCGGGGCGGGAAAAGGGAAAGAAGGCGGCGCCCCCCGCCCGGCCACGATGGTCCCTTCCTTACCGCTCATGTTGGCTGACGGGGAAGGCTAACCTAAGTGGTGCCGGAGGGGTGGGCGGGGCGGGGGCAGCGAAGTCGGTGACGAGGCAGCCTAACCCCACCGGTGACCGCCAAAGGGTTGGCGAAGGGAGGGAGCTGTGCCGACACGGCCCAAGCCCAGGAACACGCCTCCTGCCGTTCTGCCCAATCGCGAAGCCCGAAGGAAACTCCGGAAGGCCGTACTGCCAGTGAATGATGTGTCCTCCGACTATTCAAGCAAAGCAAGGCGGGGTTTGGCGCAGGAATGATGGGGGGGGTGAAGAAAATTGAAACAGATTACGAAGAGTTCGGTGGTGGCACCCCTTCCAGGAAACGCCTCTGAGGGATGCTCCACCCAATGGAGAGAGGTGGAGCTTTTGACCGAGAGTTCGAGTAACACGGGCGAGGAAAGGACGAAGAGACAGGAATAACTGACGTCGCGGTCTGCCAATCGGCTGTCGCGCGAAGTTTTCGGAAGCTTCACGCGTATGATGAAATCGTCCAATTTGACTCGTGACCGACCTGCTTGTAACCCAATCAGAGCTCAAGAAGGCCGCGCGAGGTTTCCATGAAAGAAAAGAAGGCGGAGACAGGGCAGGAAATTACATGCGCAATCAAGTAGTGAGGGAAAGATGCCTTTCGGAGTGATTAAGCGTTGAGCTGAAGGGCAGCAACAACAGGGAGGCGGAAACCTGCCTACTCCAATGAGGGACGCGGGCGGCCTTAAATTGGCCAATGGGGATGACGAAGCTCGTGGGCCTTAGCAAAAAGTGACGGATGTGGTGCCATTTTAGCTCGGATGTGAAAAGCGAGGTTCCGCTTTTGCCTCCATTTAATGAAGGTGTTGTGTAACGGCTAGTGACGCTTGAGCTTTTTTCTGGGAATTGGTGAAATGGGGTTGGCATCAGGCCACCGATTCAGTGGTTTCGCTAGAATTTCCCTCTCGTACCTGTCAGTGCAAGAAAGGTGTAAAAAAAAGCGATTGGCGTATACAATACTGAAGCTTTTGCTTGCTTCTGTCAGTAAAGCATACATTTTCAGAAAAACAATGTCTCTTGAAGGGGCACTTTCCACATTTTGGAAGATACTGTTTAATGCGTCATTCGCTGCCACTACAGTTCATTTTTTAAAAATGAAAACTTTTAAGGTGCACGATCCTATTTGATTACGGTACAATGGCACCGTAATTCTAACAAATCCGTTGAGAAATAGGTCCCACTTCTTTTCTGTAGTACTTCAGCATTATTGGCTCCATATTGGCTCTAGGCTAGTTGGAAATAAATGCTAGCCCTAAACACACCCTCTCTCCCTCTTGTTCACTGATACACAACAGATTGTTATACAGCATCACAGTCTGGTTTAGAAGCATCTGCTTCAGACAGGAAGGCGGTGCAGTGATGAGAATAGCTGAAAAGATCATTGGCAATTCCCCCCCTTCTATCCAGGTCCAGGACATAACAGATAAGCATTGCTTGAGCAGGGTCTGTAAGATTGGGACAATCCTCTTCATGACCTGTTTTCCTTGTTACCTTCTGGGAGGAGGCTCTGGTATCAGAAGCAGAACACTCAGTTTCAGTCACAATTTTGTTCCATAACAGTATAGTATTAACCTTGTGAACTTTAAAGGTTCCTCCTTCCGTTATGTGTTCAAGATAGACAGTGATTAATATTTATATGTTACTTACATGTAAGGTTGTAGGTCTATACGTATGTTTAAATGTGTGTTATGTATATGTACACTTGGAGAGCAAGCGACTAAATTTCATTTTTAATGTGTGCCATTGTGCCCACAGTAAAAAATGACAATAAAGGTCTGTTCTGTCTGTCTGTCTATCTATCTATCTATCTATCTATCTATCTATCTATCTATCTATCTATCTATCTATCTATCCGGATATAAATGCTATAAATCAGATGGCAAAATCTTCCCAAATGTACTAGCTCAATAGTTGCCTTGCTATATATGTGTACATTTTCCATTAACCAGATTACCAATATTTTAATATTGGTTCTAGCAATAGCTATATAATACTTTTTCAAATTCAGTGCCTACAAAGTACTACTTTAAGTTACAGAAAATGATTTTGGATGCTGAATGCAGCCTGACGTACTGTGGTTTAAGATGGGGTCCCCAACCTGTGTGCCCTGGCCTGCAAGGGGTTTGGGCTGCAAGGGGTTTGTAACTTGGCCGCAGAAACGGCCGGTGAGCATGCACGCATGCATGTGCATCCTCACATAAGCAGCGTACACGTGCGTGTGCTCCATTTGCGTGAGCGGCAGGCACCTATGCACACCACTCATGCAAATCAAGCTGTGTGGTTGCTTACCGGGCGCTTGCGTGAACCATCCCCTCCCTTGCCAGTCCACAAAGCCAGAAATGTTGGGGAACTCTGGTTTAAGACCACTGTTCCTTTAGCCTCAGAAAAGTGTGCCTGCTGACACTTTTCAAACCAAACTCCTGCCCTGTTTTTGTTTTTGTTTTAAAGTGAATAGGAACTTAGAATGCTACAAACAAAGCATTCTCCGGAAGCCTATCCTGTATTTCCAATAATGTTTTATGAGCCCTCATAGATCTCAAAGGGCTTCTTAGAAAATAGATGGTAGGTGGCTACACAGCTTCAAAAAAAGTTTACATATTTAATAGGAAAAGCAATAACCTGCCAGTATAGGTAGTACATAGGTCGGTTGGGAATTTTTCCATAATACAGTACATGGGGAAACGTGCTGGCCCTGTGCCATATAAACTAGGATTGTAATTGCAGTGTTTTCAGTACAGTAGTTAAATGTCAGAGTTAAGTGTGGAGATCCAGGTTCAGAATTCCCTAATGAAACTTGGGATAACTTTGGATCAGTAACCGTATTTCAGTTTGTTTTACCTGAAAAGTCAGAAGGCCCTTTGTTCATATGATCCATCTGGAACACGTTCCCTTTTCTTCCTATACCTTATTGCAACACACTTTAAGTGGGGCTCCTGTTGAAGAACATTTGAAAATTATAGTTGATCCAGAATGCAGCAGCATGAGCAGTTGCAGGTATGCATCTGTATGCCAATGTAACCTTTGTTGCTCAGCAAGCTGGACTTGTTACTGGCAAGCTTCTATGTGTGGTGCAAGATGATGGTTGTCATCCACAAAGCTCTTTATGGTACAGGGCCTGACTGTTTGAAGGTTTGTTTTTCCTCATTGTTCCTACCCATCCTGTAAGATCTGACAGATTTGACATGTTCCACGTTCCATCTATTAAGCAATGCCATCTTCCATAAAAGATATCAAATCCTTTCCAAAAACAGGCCAAAGAATCTTCATGGCAATTAGGATGTGCAGAGCTGATCCAGTATAATTTGTAGGTATATATGTGTAGGGAGTCAGCACCCCCCCCCCGAGAGTGAAATATTTTGGGGAATATTTTAAAAAGGCAAGATAGAATATTTCCCCTGAAGGAGAAATGAAGGTAAAATCTTAGGCAGAAAAAGCCCCCAGTCTCCCTTTCCCCAGGCAGAAACCCAAGGAGGCCATTCTTTAGAAATGCAGATTTGGTAATCCATTCAGAAAGATTGGTGCACACTATTCATTAGCAAAATGCCATCAGCCTCCACAGTTGATGGGATTAAGAATTTACATTCCCCAACCCAAAATCCAAGGACAGGACATGACCTTTAGGACATAATAGGATTAACCCATCGCCATTAGAATACCAAAAGGGCACACTCAAGCTCAGGTCAACAGGCACCTCAATAACAAAGCCCAAAAAAGGTATAAAAGCCCACCCACTCTCAACTCCATTTGGTCAGGCACCCCAGAAACATGCTGCTATCACTGAAGTTGCTGGCAACTAAATAAAGAGACCTCCTTTCCAAAATGCCCGCCTTCAACTAATTTCTACAGTGTCTTCCCGGCTTGGAACAGGACCTGTTTTTTCTTTCTGACACATGGATCAGTAAACTTCAGTAAACTTTACCTTTAGTGCCTGGCCACTTGCTTTTTTTCAACCAGGGTTCTCCCACTGTGAAAAGAGCCCTCTCTCCCATTTCATTTGCTACATCGCTGTACCCCAGTTCTCCAATCTGATTGATATGCTCTGTGAGATCGGAGGACTATTGAGGAAAGGGGGAACCGGCTCTTTACTTCACATAATAAAACTCCCCCCCCCCCATCCTTCAGGAACTGGAAGAGCTAGCACCAAACAGACTTGGTTCCCTTTGCGTGGAGTG